TGGTGACTGGAACATAATTATTTTTAGCTTCGTGTCTAATAAAGACTGCAAGACTTGATGCCAAAATGGAGGCCAAAGCAAATAATAATAAATTGTTCTTATGAAAAAATACTCTATAGTTATAATCAAAGGACTCGGAATTTTGTACTGAAATCTTTATAGCAGTCCAAACTAAGTAAATGCCGATACTACCGAGTACTCCATTATAAATGTGCTTTGGGAAGATATCCAAAAGGAAACGAAGCTAGGTTTTTTTACAGATGTTAATATACATGATATATTTGTTAATAATTATAAATAATATATATAATAGATTACCTTGAATCGTACAAATAATAAAAACCCTACGCCAGTTAGTATGGTACTTAGAGCGTAAGCAAATAATATTGTGTAAACCACATTATGATAATCAGATTTTTCCGATGCAATATGTTCTTCAATTGTTTCCGCTCTTTTTTTTTAATATTAAGCAAAAGTATTATTATTAGATACTATTCCTTTAAAATACAAAAAAAAATGTAGTTGTTGAAATATTTACTTACATCAAATGTAAAAATGGTAATACTATTATTATTTTTATTTAAAAATCAAGTGAAAATTTTATTTATTAGATTATGAATAATTTTGATCCCTAACTTTTTTTCTAAAAATACTTGCATTGTATTATCATTGTATTTCCTCCGTGAAGGTTGCCAAAAATTGAATTTACGACTTTCGAAATAATACAACTTTATTGATAAAGGATCATTAGCCAATTAAACAAATTCGATTAAAGTGAACGATTATTATTATATAATTTACCTCGTAAAAAACATTGACATTCCAATATATTTATAAGCTCCAAATAATTTCTCGTTACTGTTGTTATTGTGATCATGAGTAGGAAATAATATAATACCTAATTTGTTTTTCGTTTTTTTAAAAAAAATTAAATTAGCAGGTTTATATTTATTTAACTCTTTATTTTTTAAATATACTAATTTTATTATTAATTACCAAAAACTACTCCGTATACGGTATTTAATAGTAGAAACATGAATGTGCTTGAAACTACGTTGTAAATTTGCAATAAAAAACAACATTCATCTTCTTCTATAGGTCTTGTTATTTCAGTACCATCAGTGTGTCCAAATGAATGATTTGATAGTAATGAGTTGTCATCTGTAAGATCTATAATTGACTCAGTTATACACGTTATTCTATGTTGTTGTTGTTGTCGTAGTCGTTGTTGCTGTTGCTGTAATTGTTGTTGTTGCTGTAGCTGTGGCTGTATTAGTTGTTGTCGCTGTAGCTGTAGCTGTAGTAGCAGTTGTTGTTGTTGTTGTTGTTGTTGTTGTGAAATTTGGAAATAAGGATCTACTCCTTGTGTTGTGTTTAATTGTTGTCCAAAGTCAGGTATATGAGGTCTTGATTTCTGTCTCCGAGTCATTTCATTAAGGTTTCTCGTATCATAGTTATTGTTGTTATTATTATTACAGTTGTTATAAATGTGGCAATTGCAACAGCAGTTCGGACGGTTTCTCGCTGCCGCGCTAGTTTCTTCTAAATACATAGTAATAGATTATTAATATTTTATTTATTATTATGGATATTTTAGAATTAAAGATTTTTTTACCACGAAAATTTAAATTGTTGTTATACATGTTTTTTATTGAAAAAGTTAATTTTTTTAGAAGAGTTATTGAATTGATTCATTTAACGAGAACTATCAGAAGAGACTGTATGTATATAAAGTAATTTTCTTATATATCACGGAAAATAAATTGAAAAAAATCGGAATTTTTTTTTACTATTACGATCGACTAATTAATTTTATTTTTCCTGGAACGATTAATATTTAATGTAGATAAAATCGGCTCTTTCATTTACATAAGATGCATCATGTGTATATATTTTCCCAATAATCCGGTTTTTAACCAGAAAAATTGAATAATTAATTTATCCAAGGATCATCGATTGGGGTGTAACATGGCCTATGTAGATCAAAACTAGTTAATACACTCCCCTGCCAAAAGTATCCAAATACTTTTAGCAGGGGAGTGTATCATAATAAAATTACTAACAAAAAAAATTGTATCTCCTCTTCAAAAAAAAGATGAAACTATGAAATTAAGAGAGAAATTGTAATAAATGTAATGATAAACATGCTGACAGCGAGTTTTTTTAAATTTTATTAGTAAAAAAAGGATTTATAAGGATTTGAAGTTGTGCGTTAAAAATTTATCGATTTTTTCTTTTAAAATCTTTTCCTTTTAAAGAAACTGTCATTAAAAAAAGAATCGCAAGAAGCAGAAAATCTCCAAATTTTAAGAACTGAAAAGTTTTTAAATAAATTAAAGTTATTGCATGCAGGGCATCTATAACTGTCAATGATTATCACATGACTTTAAAAGCTTATATTATTAAAAAAGGAAAAGAAAAAAAGTAAACTGATAGAATCAAAGCTAAAGACTAGAGGTTGGAATCGACTATTTTAGTCAACTAACTTTTTTTTTAATATTAAACTAATGGTCGACTAATACTAATTACTATTATTGTAGCATAGTGGAAATTTGAAATGTTACACTAATTTTTTATATTGTGCAACGTAGCTTTACGGCAAACATTCTGGCAATAAAAAGTAAGTGATAAACTGGATTTGAATTGGATCTGAACTTGATCTCCAATTTAGAGAGGTAACAACTATATACTGGCGAAGTTTCAAAAGCAATGAGTTCTGCATAGCATTTCATGTAACAACAAACTTCCACTATGCTTATTATTGTCTGGCCAATTCTGCAATTATAAATGAAAACGTTTTTTGTGGTACAAAAAAATTTAAAAATAAAATAATGGAAAATAATAAAATAAATATGCGGAGTATCAATATTATGAAGAAGATGATAATGGTGGTGTTGGTGCTGGTGTTGGAGATAATTATCCATGCGAAATAATAAACATTGATACAAGGTCAAATCATTCCAACAATTCGTTGGCTTCGAGCTCAAGCAGTGGTTCCAGACCTTTAAAAAAACGAATTATAACATATAGCTTCGTATGGAAGTATTTCGAGAAAATTAAAGATTCAAATGGAGATGAATTTGTAATCTGCAAATTAAAAAAAACCGTTAATAATAATGAAACAGAATGAATATTCTAATTAAATAGGATGTTATTCCCGTGACTAGTGTGACCATTTTGCGAAGCAAATGGTTACACGCCAATTTAGTCGACTAAAAGAAATTTTGACCAACTAGTAGTCGACTAAGGATTTTTTTGGACGATTCCAACCTCTACTAAAGACCTAAGCTTCATTTCCATCGGTTTCTATATGTAAATTGTAAAATTTCGGGATGATCTAAAAGCCTTATGATCAGTATAATAATAAAATTCAATGCGTGTGTAACCGTACATTAGTAGTTTTCTGCAGATAGTTCCTAAATTTTTAAATTCCGGACTGTGATATTTATACGTAGATGAGTTTGAACCATATAGTTTTATTTGGTGATTTCATTCATGAAATTCAAGAATATTCGTTAAGGTTAAAAATAACTGATTTGATACATATAGTAATTTGTTATAATGATGTGATCTATGCTTGGTGATCTACAAGAATGGAACACCCAATCATCGATGAACCATGTGGGATTGACCGAATGTTGGTGCGATTAGGTGATTAGGTTTCACCAGTTCCGCCATAGTTTAGATAGAAGAATCCCTGTTTGTGTAAATTAGGAAGATAATTGCTTTTTTCTCGTATATATACTATTTGGGAAATCAATTTATTATTAGAAACTATTGAAATGTTTCACAATTAGAAAAACTTCGTTTTCGGAAATGAAAGAAAAAGGAATAGTACATTACCAATTTGTCGTTTTAGAAAGATTATTCGTTTAATGTACGACGTCACACTAGAAATTTTTCTGGTATAATAATTGTGTGTCTACTTTTTTTAAAATTAAAAAAAAAAATTTTTTGAAATAATAAAATATCGAAAACAACCAAAAATAATTTTCACAATGGATAATAAAAATAATAATAATAGTGATTACAATCACAATAACTTCACCAACAATGATTCTGGTCACTATATAAATCCCATTAATACGAGCAATTCAGCAGCGTCGTCATTATCATCAAAATCAAGAACATACATCGATACACAACAATACCCTGCTATTGCTACTACTGCCGCTGCCGCCGCCGCTACACCGCAACCTCCACCGCCCCAATTTCACTATACCGCCAACGATAACAATAATTCACAAATTTCAATTTCAAATAATTACAACGACAATAACTTCACCAACAATGATTCTAGTCACTATATAAAACCTATTAATACAAGCAATTCAGCAGCGTCGTCGTTATCATCAAAATCAAGAACATACATCGATACACAACCATCATATGCACAATACCCTGCTATTACTACTGCTGCTGCTGCCGCCGCTGCTACACCGCAACCTCCACCGCCACAATTTCACTATACCGCCAGCAATAACAATAATTCACAAATTTCAATTTCAAGTAATTACAACGACAATAACTTCACCAACAATGATACAAAACCGATTAATACAAGAAATTCAGCAGCGTCATCATTATCGTCATTATCATCAAAATCAAAGACATACATCGATACACAGCCATCATCTATGCAATATCCTACCACCACCATCACCACCACAACGCCACAACCGCCGCCGCCACAACCTCACTATACCACCAACGATAACAACAATTCACAAATTTCAATTCCAGTTAACAACTACAATGATGTTGAAAGAAGAGAAGAAAAATTTTGCAAAATATGTCATGAATCATCATCATCATCACAGACATTATCTCCAACGCAACCATCTATAGATTCTACGAATTCATCATTTTGGTCAAACCTTTTTACAAAAAAGCACAAGGAAAAGAATAAATTAATTTCGCCGTGTAGATGTAAAGGTTCATTGCAATATGTACATTTAGAATGTTTGAATAAATGGCGTAAATCAAACACAAGAAGTGATTCGGCGTATCAATGTGAAGTGTGTAAATATAGATATAAAATGTATAGACCATTCATAATACACATAATTGATAGTGAAATATTTTTGCATTTGATGACAATAATCGTATTCCTTTTACTGGTATATTTGGTATCTTGTCTGATGCAAGTGATTGATTTTAAATGGATTACTCCGGGTGGACCGGCTGGTGAAGAAAAAGACGATTGGAAATATACCACAGTGTTGAATTTATACCTGGTTCACATCATAATAAGTTTGTGTATAATTTCGTGTTGTGGATTGCTATTTTTGCTTTATAAATATATATTTGGACAAGATACAAGTATGGGCGGTCCTTTAGGTTGTTCTGGTTGCGTTGGTTCAAGAGGTTTCGGTAGTGGTAGCACGTATTTTTGCTGCGCTGCTTGTATGTTTGATGACACGGATGGATGTGGATCGTGTGTTTGTATTTTATTTATAATATTAGCTTTTTGGATTTTTCTATTAGGAATATTTGGAATTTTATTGATAAGTTACTTGATAATCAAAAACATAAATAATTATTTACTAGATCATGTCAAAGAAACCATTCTAGAAGTAAAAAAAAATTAATCCGAATTATTTATATAGACAATAAAATAGAGAAAGAACACTAACTTTTATTGAATTTAAAAAAGTTATTTCATATTTTTCATATTTATAAATAAAGGACCCATATTTTTTAGTAGTAATTTCACGTAGAAAAAAAATTAACATTATAAATAATAACGTAGATAGATAATGTCCGGTGCATTATAATATATAAAATATATATAATATATAATATATAATATATAATATATATGTGTAAATAAGATTGTCCGAATGATGACATAATGAATAATGACATGATGAATGAAATAAAATAATTAAATGAATGTAAAAATTTGGGACCTATACAAAATAATAATAAGTGGTAACATAATAATAATATTTACATTACAAATGATAATAAAATAAAAATATATCTACAAAAGTCAAAATATGAATAATTTTTTCACCACGATAGTTGATAATTTATTGAAGAATTGGTTATTTGAACTTGTTGTATTTCTCTTGCGATCTCGTTAAATCGTTGATAAGTTAAAGATGTTGATGCTAATGATGTACCATAGTTATCATATCCATCATTATGAATAATATTGGTGACATCAACGCCACTACTAATATTTCCACCGTTATTTCTTCTTCTTGTTGGCAAAGTGATAAACATTGGCATTTGTCTTTCATCGATAGTGGATGAAATGTTACAGGAAGATTGCAACCTCTCTATCCACGTGACACATTCTTCTTTGTCGTCTGCCTGAATTAGATATTGATGACCTGTCTTGAACTTTATCCTTAGAACGTGCTTGCGCTTCGGATAATCAATTGCCAACTCTACTTGTGCGTCTTGCATGCTAAATCGATTTAGAGGTTTTGCAATCTATAATTGTTATATATATATATTTTTTTTTAAAAAAAAAAAGAATTAATCAATTAATTATTAATTCATGGAAATAAACAATTTCAAAATTTTTAAAAAACACTCACGTTGGTGTTGTCTGGTTCATGTGCATAAATACGTAAAAAAGTTCCCCATAAATATAAATATCTTCTTTGCCATGATCTTTTTGTTGCTTTTAATCCTTTACGTGTAAACTCTTTCTTGACCAGTACAAAACCTGAATGATTTACAGTACACGAATATTCAGGCAATAATTCATTTTCTTCATTGTCACAATCAACATTATATTTTGATTTGTCGTTGATAGATTGATGATCGCTTTTCTTATCTTTATAGTCGTCAACAACTATATCAAAATATGATGGTGGCGATGATGATTGGGCTGGTGATAATGGTGATGAAGGTAACAATGATGATATGGACGGTATAATAGGCATTGAATGGCGCCAATTCTTTGGATTGAGTACACCTTGATGTTTTCTTTTATTTTTACTCTTATTATTAATATTACTCGTAATCATATTATTATTATTATTATTATTATTATTATTATTATCGTTGTTGTTATTTGAATCCTCGCTTTCTACTATAGTGAGACCACCACCATTAAATATTCTAGATGATAATGACAATTTGGTTAATCTGGATGATTTGGATGATTTGGATGAATTTTTTGATTGTGTTCTTGATAATGTAGATGTTGCGAATGGTGTATAAGACGGTAATGTTGTTATTGATGCAGATGTAGCTAATGTAGATGATGATATGTTGGATTGTGGATTGTGGTAAATGTAATGGGTATTATTATCATTAACATTGATTTCATTAATGTCATCATGGTTTTCATCATTATTACGTTGTGTATTTATTAAGTCTATTTCAGAATATTCTGGAATCGGCACGGTGCTGTCGTAATCGGTGACTTGTGTAGTAGCGCTATTAAGGATAATACCAATATCACTTTTACTATCATCAACATCATCACCATCATCACCATCATCACTATTATTATTATTATTATTAAAGAAAAAAGATGATCCATCACTATCTTCTTCAGTTATTGGTGTTAAAAGTTTCTTATTGTTATTCTGAACAGTTTCTAAAATTAATTGTCCATCAATTATTATCTGATCATCATCATCATCATCCTCTTCTTCTTCTCCTCCTCCTTCTTCGTCATAATCTTTATCGTCATTGTTAATCTCTAATAATAATCTTTTTGTATTTATTGTAAGTGTAGAAATATCATTATTGTTGTTGGTTGAAGTTAATAATAATTGTTGGAGTTTTTTGATCCATAAAATCAATATTTTGCGATGTGATTCATTCTTGATTCCGATAATTTTTAATGTTTGTTCGTTTAACGTTAAAAAAATAGTAAAGTCAATATCATGTTTTTGAAATGTTGGTAGATATTGTTGAAGATGAAGTTGAGTTAAAATTGATTTCATGGTAGTGGCTATTAATTATTAAAAAAAAATTGAGAAAAGAGTGAGAAAATTTTAACAAAAATAAAAAATAACAAAAATTAACACGTGTAAATTATTTAATTTTATTTATTTGTTATTTATACTTGCCTTTATTACTTTTCGATATTCTCGCAACCATTTTGTTGAAAAAGAGCAATTAAACTTAAAATATAAATTATTTATAAAGCGTATTTATTTATTTTTTATTTAGAAGTGAAAGTAAGAAGCAAGAAAAATTCTTAATTTTTTATTATTATTATTATTATCCCAACTATATAGTTAATAGTTAATAATACGATAATAGAAAAAAGGGGAACCTTATTATTAAAAATTGTAATTGCATGTGACTGATAAAATTTTTAGAGGAGTAAGAAAGAAGTTAATAATAAATAAATGATTTAACCAAATTGAAATTAATTAAATAGTAAAAAGCAAATAAATCCCTTGATAAATTTTGACAAGGTTTTTGAAAAAAATAAATTTTCGATTTTGGGGAAGAGAGAAACAAAATTGCACTTATTTATATACCTACTACTTACATACATTTATGTGATAATATGTAATGTCTACATTAGAGAAATTATTACCACATACTTAAACATTGGCTTTTTTTTATTTATTTCTATTATCTCATCAGCTAACTTTGTTAACTAACTAATTTATTTATTAGGTAGGCCAGTTAATCAATCAACTAGTCAATTTAATTGATCAAGTGGCCACTAAACCAAATGTAACAAATAAATGTTGATGATATGATGTTAATGATTTATTTATGGTAAGGTTCGATCCTCTAATCTATGATCTCCTATGCTAATTTATATATGAGTGCATGTCATGTTGGTATTTCACATTCATGCATGATCTTTATTGAATAAAGATTTTCATAAACAATTATTTTTATTTATGGAAAAATTCACCCATACATCATAAACACAAAGAGCAAATAATAGATGGAAATTTTTGTCCATTAATTTAAATTTTTGGTCATTAATGACGTTGATCAATATTTCTAAGAACGGTGGTGTCATCATCGGATATAAATAATGCGTCATAAATCACATGCATTCGTAGAATTCTGTAGAATTTTTGTACATTTGTAATTTAAAAAAAATGCCTTTTTCAAAAATTTTTAGGGTAAGTTTTTGTATTAAAAATCATACATTAATGATCAAAGAAAGTTTGTACTATATAGTAATAGTACTAGTGTTAATGGCAGGCGATTGTGGATGAGATTAGCGTTACACGAGGTGGATATATCGAGACTTTAATTATTTTAACTATGACTAAAATTTATTTGACAAGTCAACAACAATGGTAAATAGTTTTAGATAGACGGCAAAATAAAAATTTCATATATTAAATGACAAATCTTTGACATCCTAGATATTATTTTTTGACTTTTTTTTCATGAAACAATTTGGCAAAAACAGTGAGTGAAAAACAAAAAAAAAAAAAAAAGAATAATAATTTAATATTCAAGTATAAAGATGATCGTGTTGCGTTTTTCTCCAGGTATTTATTTAATTATAAATAGATTAGTTGATATCCTCTACAAGTACAAGGGTTGTGGAAATCTCTTTTCTCTCGAGAGAAATTGTGTTTGTAGTTCCAATATTTATACGTATTACAATCCTATTGAGCTTGCCAAAATCAATGTTAAATTACAACAAGGGATCATGAAAAAAATTAGTGTATATGGAGTAGACTAGTGACCCTTATAGTTTTAATCTTCACCAAGAAGCACAAACGCTAATAGTAAATAAAATTAGTACTGGCATGAATTTTATCAAAAGAATCTACTAAATAAAATAGATGGATAAACCAATATGCTGTTATTTTCATCTTAACCACTGCCACTCATTCATTCGCCGCAATTTAAAAATATCAACAACATTAAGAATTCTAAAGAATGCTGGTTAATCAGAAACAGTTGAATACTAGAAGCTCTCATAGTTGCTAAAGGATCCTGGGACAAAAAAAAAAATAATTCGCGTCCCAAAAAAAAAAAAATAAAAAAAAAATATACAGTGAACCCTTGTTTCAACGAATGTTGAATAAAATTTTCTTATATGTCCAGCCACTTTGTTGAACTGTAATAGGGGTTCTTTGTACAACATGCCATGCGCCTTAATATTAATAAATGCTGGTTCATCAGAAACAATTTAACACTAGAAGCTCTCGTGGTTTTTAAAGGACAAAAGAAAAAAAATCCTTGTATAACACACCATGCGTCTTAATATTAATAAAATTCTGGTTCATCAGAAACAACTTAATACTAGAGGCTCTTGTAGTTGCTGAAGAACCTTGGAACAAATGAAAAAAAAATTAATTCGCGTCCCAAATAAAATAATAGGAGAGTTCTTTGTACAACCCACAGTGCGCATTAATATTAACAAAATGCTGGTTCATCGGATGAAGTTTAATACTAAAGCTCTTGTAATTGCTAAAGGAAGAAAAAAAATTAATTCATGTCCCAAAATAAAATCTTTGTGTCTCAAAAATAAAATAATAGGACCACGTGCCTTAATATTAACAAAATGCTAGTTCATCAGAAGCAATTGAATACTAGAAGCTCTTGTGGTTGCTAAAGAATTATGTGATAAATTAGATTAGAAGAAATGTTTCCTTGAAAAGAATGTCATGATATTGCAAGCTCTCAATCATCATTATTACTATTACAAAATGAGGTAATGTTTTTCGGCAAAAGTTAGTTCTTCTATAATATTCTTCATAATTCTTAAAAAAATTGACACTGTCAAGACAAGAACGTTTCCCTCTATCTTCTTTTCAAAGGTCAAGTACATACAGTAAAAAATGACAAAAAAATTGAAGTTGTTCGAACACGTATATCTTACCTAATTTGATTTAATTTTGTTTTGTGTTTTTTTTTTTACGTTTTGATACAAACAATAACTTTTATTTTTTAACTTCTTTGAAAAAGTTTTTAGCCGTTTTCTAGTTCATTTTTAGCTTTTTTTTTTGAATTTGATCACGAAATGACTAAATCAAGTTTGAATACGCAACGTGAGACCATTTTGCATTGTTGGAACATCGGAATGCGCTCAGTTAAGGAAATTCAAACGGCCACAAAGATCTCCATGCGAACTATTTATAATAATCTCAAAAAATTAGAAAAAATAATGGAAAATTGGATCGGAAAAAAGGGAGTGGCCGAAAAAAAAAAAATAACGCCTATTATTGCAAAAACAATTGGCCAGTCTATACGTTGAGATTATGCTATTTCACTGAGAACACTTGAAACAAAGTTATCAAATAAAGGTTATCAAGTTTCGCGCATGGCTATTTCGAGGCATCTTTTGGGTCTTGATTACAAAAAGAAGCTACCAAAAGCCACCCCGGTGTTAACTGAAGACCACAAACGAAAACGAATAGAATGGGCACAGAATCATCTGAATGACAACTGGAACAAACCCGTTTTTACTGATGAGACAGCTTTTCAGCTCTTTCGTAATACAGTAGAACGCTGGTACAAGAGAGGACGGCCCACTCGTCGAATTCCAAAAGATCGTCAAATTTTTTTTGCTTGGGGTGGTTTTTCTATAAATGGTAAAACTAGCCTTTTTTTCTTCACGAGAATAATGAATGAAGAATTTTATGTCGAAATCCTGGAAAATCATATTCCAGAGATTCGTGAAATGATGGGAAGAAGCTGGCGATTTCAGCAGGACAACGATCCTAAGCACACGAGTCGTCTTACTCAGTCATTTCTTAGGAATAACGTATGGACTGGCCCGCAAATAGTCCAGACTTAAATCCCATTGAGAAGTTATGGCATTTAGTCAAGACAAATGTATAAAAGAGAATGCCAAAAAATTGAGAGGATTTATGGTTCAGGAATGGAATTCCATTCCCAATAGCATATTAATCAATTTAGCAAGATCAATGAGGCGAAGATGCGAGTTAGTTATAGAAAGTAATGGTGAAAGAATACCATATTAAAATTTTGTCAATAAAACTACTATGCATTGATTGTTAAATAAAATATAAAGCACATTGATTACTATAGCCGTTGTTGTACAATGATCAATAATTCAATTGCCATTTTTTTCGTGACACACTGTATATTACTTGTAATCACGACAAGAAGTAACAATAGTGATGATGATATTAATAAATTATATATGTTAATAAAATTTTCACCTCCTCAACTAATTAATCAGATGCAAACTATTTTAATTTTAAAGTTATAATTATGATTATGATTAGCAAAATACAAAATCAATTCAATCCTTTCCCCGTTTTAATCTAAAAAAAAAAATAGAATTCTTTTGTTGTGGCTTTTTTTTTTTTGGTTAAAAAAAGGAGAACAAGTAATATTTATTTTTAAATGAATTAACACTAACGGAACGAATGTCCATTGTTTTTATTATTAGTATTGTTAGGGATTAGCCAAAATTAAATAAAAATTAAAAATTAATAAATAAATAAAAAATAAAAAAAACAATTTACAAATTTAATTGGTTTTAATGATGAACAATGGGGCTTCTAAAATTAAATTTTCAATTTTTCGGAAATTGTTAAAACGCTTCGCTGTTTGCTTACTCCATTACTCGAACGAATTGTCGCCACAATAATAATAAATAAGAAAGGATGTTATTATCCCGAATTATGCATGCCAACAATATAACAATTGTTTTCATTGGTTTCCCAAAATTGGATGTAAAAGAAAAAGGATATGTGTAACAAACATTGGCTAATGTGTGTGGCTAATGTGGCTAGTATTTTGCTTCGAGTGGTACAAACCGAACCACATTCTTGCTATTGTTGCTGCTGCTGATGATGATGATGATGAGGAGGAGGAGGAGGATGAGGATGCACGAGTTGTAGATGGTTATTCAAACACTCTTTACTACAACAAGCAACGGCTTGGCATTTTGAACAGACCAAAAGACCCCAAATATCCTTTAGTTCGGTTGCTTTAAAATTACACTGGACACAAATCGGTTGGATTTTTGGAATTTGCAGATCGATTGATTGGATTTTTTCTTGCGATTTTTTAATTAATTTATCAGCTGTTGGAAAACCGCATTTTTGAATGTTTTTGCATATCTTAAAAAATTTTAATGCGTTCGTGTGATTTTTATCACATTCATACATTAATCCCAAACAATAATTTATATGTATGCGTATAGCCTTGATTTTATTCTCATGGTCGTCTTTAGTTGTTGGCAAATAAGAATGCACATGTGATTGTTGTTGCTTCTGATACAGACAAAAAATTGGATCTTGTAATGTTTGATCAATGCGTCGCATTGCTTTTACTCCAGTTTGCCAAATGTCAAATTCCTTCGAACGATCCATTTGAAATCGATAGATTTCCGAAATGCCACCAATAACTTCAAGCAACAAATTCATATCCCATCTATTTGATGGTATCGTGTTGATAAGTTTCAGTGCTAGAAAATAGTAGGCTGACGCGGTAATATGATCAGCACTAATTGTCCCGTTAAGTCCACCGTGATATATTACACCCAATTTTCCTGCAGCATGTGCAGATCCATTTTGAAATGCTTTCTGATAAAGTTCTACGGATCCGACATAATCATGTTCGATTAATTTCTCTTCAGCTTCTTCAATCAGGTTTTTAACTGTTTCCACTGTCTTTATAAATGAATATGAAGAAGATGATGATGAAGATGATGAAGATGTCGACAATGAAAATTTTCTATTTATAAATGATCTAGCCAAATTTTTTATATTTGATCTTTTATTTTTATCATTTAAATAATTAACATCAACATCAACATCAACATTAGCATCAACGTCAACATCAACGTCAACATCATTATCATCGTCAATATCGTTCGATTCAGGAAAAACTTCGATTTCTACAAAATCAGGCGGAATTAGTGAATTAACTTCATAATTTTGATTTTGAGAATTTTTATTATTATTAAAAGCTTTCGGGATGTAAGATTTTGAAAATACCATCCAATAAGGCATCTTGAATAATAATAATATTTCGGAAATTAAATATTTTTATTTGTATGGTATTTATAAAAATTATTTATGATGAATTAAAAATTCAATCCCGATAGTTCTAGATCCTTTTTTCTTATCTATCAATAAATAAAAATTTGATATTTAATTTGTTAAAAAAATTAAAAATTTCCTTGCATTATTATTATTCGTTAATATTGGGGAGTCTTGTGATGTCCACTATCTTTGAACTTTATTTTTTTTTTTGGCTTAGTGCAGAAGAAGTTTTTAATTTTAAGGTTAATATTAATTAGTTAAAAATTAAAACGCGAAATTTAAGCATATGATAATATAAGGAGATACGCAACCTGAGTTTTTTTGTACCTATCGCACATTATTATATATACTGACACCGGCTGCTATAAAATGTTACTAAATCGGGAAATAAATAAAACCCTGCTTTAAAAAATTCTCAGGTACATTTATTTTTATTCAAAAATTGCTAGTTGGTAATGCAAGAAATACGAACGGATGGATTCGTCATCGAGACAAATGTGGCTAATAAATAAAAATTCCAAGCAAAAGATTCTGTCAGTGGCTGGAAATTTTACGTCATGAACTTTGATTATTTATTTTATTTATTATAAAATTAAGAAAACGGACAATTATGGAAAATAATATAAAAATTTTACGCAAAATATATATATATAAACAAATATGCATGTATCATTTGTAGGTAGATGTTACACAATGTTATATAATTCAAGTTTAAAAACTAGTTTTAATTTGAGATATAAACTAATTATAGTTTATTATGAAAAGAATTTCTATTTATTTTCTCCTCTTAAAATTAGTGTAACACATACGTTTCAACTCAACTGTAAAACCCTCCATATTATATTGTATATTGCATATTTTATATTAATTAGTATTATAAATCTAAAATTTGTTTTTGTTATTGTTCTGGCTGAACAATAGAAATACAGACTAAAGATTGTAATAATCTTGTTAACCTAAATTTTTTGATTTTCTGAAAATTTTTTAAATACATCGTGATACGCACAATGAATTTTGAAATTGCTTTATTTGGCAATGTGAAATTTCGAAAAACAATATCAGGAACAATTGCTACAAATATTTTTAATATAAAAAACCATTCTTTTCCACTTTTTTTTTTTTTGATAGTTCTAAATTTTTAACCACAATTATTTTTTCACAATCCAATTTTATTTATTTTTTTTACGATTCAAGACAATAAAAAATATTTTTATTTTGCAAATTTTTTTATTTTTTATTTCTTTATTTTAAAATTGAAAACTATTTAAACTATCTCGTTTCTATTTTATAATAATATTTTACAATATTTACAAAAAACAAAAAATAATTTTTTTTATTAACAACAACAACATTAATAACAAAATATGACATCAACAACACAAGTTCCAACAGTCAGAATATCTTTATCATCGCCATCACTAGCACAACAAAGATTAGATTTATTATTAGAACAAGAAGCAGAATTTAATAATAATTTATCGAATACATCCTTTTATAATAACTCTGCTATAAATACCATACCACCAGCATACTCAACAGAAGAAAACAATAATAATTCCTCAATACCCAAATATCCAACACAAGCACATATATCATCAGAACTACCAACCTACGATCATGCTACTATTGATATGCCACCATCATATGGTTCACACAATAACAAAGATAATGAAGTAGCTTATGACACTTTTATTGTTACAAATGAACTTCCTTGGCCAATAACAAAGAAACTTTATATTATAGGCTTCGTGTTCTGGCCACTTTGGCTCGTTGGTATGGGATTCAGTATATTTGGCAAGAAGAATGAAACAAGAAAATGGGGAAGAAGATGTGCTTGGAATTCATTAATTATCATGCTAGTATTTGCTTATATGGTGGTAGCTTATATAAGAACAAACGGCAGAATAGTCATGTAAATTAACAGATGATGATGATGAAGATGACATGAACAATCTCTCTCTTTTATTTTCTATTTATTTTTTTTACAAAACAGACTTTATATTGTAATTTTATGTAATTATTTCTTTAGTTTTTTTCTCTCTAATATTTAATTCTTAATCTTTAATATTTAATATTTAATATATAATTATAAGATAAACAACGAGATTTTTTTTATTGGTTTTTTTTTTTTTTAAAAAAAAAAAACAAAAAAACATCAAAATAATTTGCAAAAAAAAAATATTCTCAATTTTTGTACATAGTTTTCTTTTTATTTTTTTATTTTAATGATAATTTATAATTAATTAATTCTAATCTAATATTACTATTATATATTTATATATATTTCTACTTTCGTTCCTTTGATAGGAGAAAAAGAAGAAATAATAATAATAATAATAAATGATAATCAACAAATAATAGTAATGATAAATAATAATAATAGTAATAGTAATAATATAGTGATAATAATTATCTTACTCCTTTTACTTTTCCAATCCTTGATCTTTTTTTTAGTACTTACTATTAGCACATATTTCTTATGTATGAAAAATGGGATTTCTGGAAAGTTCTTCTCTAGCTCTTTTAAAGGGACATTTAATAATTGTGGTTAAATTTAGAATTCAATCTATCAGAGATCTAAGAAATTTAGAAAAATCGAATTGGCTAGTTATATTATTACGATTCTTTATTTCAAGCAACTTTCCTTCTCATAAACAACACTATGAAATATAATAATATAATAATAATAACAATAATAACAATGATATAATGACATATATATTCTAATGGCTGCTGAATTCCTTTCCGTTGGATCTTTCGAGGAAGGAATTAAAGAAAGAAAGAAAGAAAGAAAGAAAGAATTATGATTGATTCATAATTTCTTGATTTCTCTATTAATTAATACAAAAAATAAAATAAAAACTAGCATTTTAGGATTTAGCATATATATAATTTATATTTATAATTATTTGGATCTTTATAAATTTTCTTTATCTTTCTCTTATCATTACTATATTATTACATGTAAAAATTCATATACAGTATTAGTATATAAAATTGTAATTATTTTTCTTTTTTCTGATCAAAGGTTATATATACTAATATGATTTGGGTGTTCTTTCTTTAATTAATAAAAATAAAGATTGGAAAATATTTAAAACCTTATATATATATATCGATTTTGCGAATTATTATTATGAAAGATCACACTACATCAATCTGACTATTTAAAAAATTACGGATCGACGCTTTCCATAAAAAGTTTTTTAGATTAGGTGGATGAATCGGCTAAAAAGGCATACCACCATATTACTATCAAATCATGATAAACATAAACCTTGTTATGGAGAATCAAAGTTTTTTTAAGATAATAATGCAATTATATGTAAGATTGACGTTAATATGATATTAGGCAATATTGAATCTTGGAAAGATCTGCAAAATTTGAACCTTTTTTCTCCATTTTATTATTATTATTATTAAACAAAATATAGGCTGTGGATCGGGAAATCGAAACCCCCATTTTTCATGTAAAATAATAAAAAAATTATATTTGACTCGATCAAAACATCAATCAGTATTGGATTCAATTCAGATATGCGAGATATCAACATTACTGTTAATAATAAAAATTAAATTAAAAGAAGATAGAGTTTAAAGAATTAGATTTTATTTTTTAAAGATAACAAATAATGCAGAAGTGCCAATAAGAAGAAGGAATGCTTATTGATGTTGGTGTGTGTTTAACAAAAATTCTTCTAATCAGAATTTCACACATTGACATTATATAATTGCTTTCTTGTGAACCACGTGCCAATGAAACTAATAATAACAAGATGATAATCATTCAGATAATTTGACTAGTCCACCTGTTAGATGTGAGTATGTTAAAATCACTTGAATGGTATCTTCCTGTTACTACAGATTGAAACTCTTTGTCAACTGAGCATTTGAAAATAAAAGAAAATCACAGCTGTCTGCTTGACAGTCAAGTAACAAAATGGATCTTTGTCAATTTAGCTTCCCACAAAATTTTCACCATTCAGAGTTTTATCCAGGGCCCAAAATTGCATTTTAAATAATTGGGTTTTCTGGTTCATTTTTGAAAAATTTTGGTTGAAATCATAACTCAGTTCACACAAAACTTTACTACACATTACTAAATTCAAATTATTTAGATTTCAATATTTTAAAAAAGTGTTCCAATTGTTTATTATGTTAATTGTATACTAATATACTAATAGATAGGATGCCAAATACTCCCATTATTCGACCTTGAAATTCTCCACAACTAAAGCTCCTAATGAGCCGACTTGCGAGCCAAATAACTTATTCAGCTTGCAAGCTTAGTAAGTTATTTGGCCTGTGAGCTGGCTCATGCAGAGCTTTATCCACAACACATTACCTACAATAAAAAACTTAACACTTAACCGTCCAACACTACTCCCACTCAATCTTAATTGTCTCTATATCATACAACTAAACAACTCTATTCTAATCTAACTCCAACCATACCCTACCTGTAATGCTTGCAGCTAGATTAATTCAATCATGCAATAATAGTACATAGTAATTAGCAACCCAGTTAATCCGAATCATATTAATTCAAAAAACCCGTTAATAGATATATGCAAATTTGACCTGTTGAACAGTAGATTTTTACTTTTTAACCCGTAAAACCCATTGATCTGTTTTTTTTTTTTTTTTTTTAGAATTTTTCTGAATTTTTATTCTTCAAGTTTTGAAGTAATCCAAAGAAAAGTGGCTGCTGTATAAATGCCCTCGGATTGACGTAGTTGACTATGTAGTAGTAATAGAAGTAATACTAGGAATAATAGTGGTAGTAAATAGAAATGAAATTGTAATAATTATTACATAAACATATATACAGTACAACAATTCCATAATTGCCCTTCTTAATAAATAATCATTGCCATAATTGATTTTATAGTTGCCATAATTAGTTTTGTAATTATTTGAACTCTTTGAGTCAAATGATATATAGTTATTTTATGCTCATTCATATAATAATAAAGAATATTGAGAATCCGTAATTATTTCCATGATCAATTTTCCTCCAAAGACAATTATGGCAAACAACTATAATGTGTATACCACTATCATCCATGCATGACCGAATCAATACTAATAGAAAGTATGGGCTCTGCTTAATATTCTGGTTAGTAATTTTAATAAATAAAACATTTATTTTAATTCTTCTGTTGTAATATAGTTGGCTCGGTCTAAAGACCTCCTAAATTTTGTGCAAATTTTAAAAGTATAGAAGTCATTTTCTGTCCTACCTTTTAAAAAAATAGCTCTATTAGTTGATAGAATAGGTCTTTAGTTTTAATGTAATAGAGAGATTTTCTCAAAAAATTTATTTGTTGTAGAGTTCTATTCTTTTTTAAAACATGTACTTTACTATGTTCATGAGGAATTTGAGCGCTAGGATCATTGCTAAATTTAGACTAGTTTTTGACCATCATTACTAGATTTAGACTAATACTCGACCATCATATCTAAATTTGGCAGTAAGGAAAATAATTTTTTAACCAAAATCACGTTTTGAAATTTTTTTAAAATTTTTGTTGCATTTTTGAACGAATCACAAAATTGCAAATTTTGAAATTTGAGCGCGTGGCGCAGCAATAGGAGGTCTTTAGACCGAGCCAACCATATTAGTTATGAAAATTTTGCAGATGTTTCACGGATCACGAATTAAGTAGCTTATTTAACAGACTAACATTTACAATTACAATAATACTACCAGTATTTCTGATTAACATACACTAGTTATCCAACTTTATTCTTAACTAATAATTTTATTTTTAAAAGCTTATTAACGTTTAATAAAAATAATGATTCTATCATTGTTTTATTTTATCAGAACGTTAACTATGCATTGTGTTAAATTGATTAACTACAAAATTACATGCAATATGTAGTAATACGCAATAAGAGTAATATTAATAATATGCTTGAGCTGTCTTTAGTGTCTGAATTTGAAGCAATATAAGTTGATTAATATTGGTACTTAGAATGACCTTTACATAGCACATAAGACAGTTTTGGTACATGTTTTTGTAAATTTTAATTTTGTTTTCTATTTTTATCACTTTTAAATTTTCAAAGAATTTGTTTTATTGTTGAATCATGATAAATCGATCACTAGAGTTAGATGATAGTGAAATTGTTCTTTAAATAATGCAATTTTCGTTTTTCGATTTACATAACAATAAAAAAAAATGTTGTACGAAAAAATTGTTTGTTACACGTCCGCAAAGAAAAAGGGAATAATATAACCGTTATTCTCATTCATTAAAACAACAAGCCAAAGGTTTATATTTTATAATGTCATATTACAGTTTGTTATCACCAGAAAGGACAGAATTTGTAAGAAAAACCAACAATGAAATTTATAATAATGCTAATGTTAATTCTGATAGAGAAAGTATAAAAGACTATTATTTTTCATTAATTGAAAAAAACAAGGAGCTTTCTGAAAAAGAAAAAAAATTTTGTAAAGAAAATTTTATTTATTGGTGTGAATTAAATAATGCAACATATAAATGGGGCAAACCAAAAGAATGTAACAAGTGTAAATTGACAAAATACTCTGATAGATTCTGTGAAGGTTGTATCAGTTTAGATTTACAGAGTCTTTTCACCACTTGGACATCTGGAAATAACATAGTTGACAACTTTATTCAACAATGTCAAATAAAATCATCTCTGCCAAACTATATTATAGAATGGATACCTTTTGAGCAATTTGAAGAAGTAACAAAGTTGACAGAAGGTGGATTTAGCTCAATTTATAAAGCTAAATGGGCAAGAGGAAAAATAATTGATTATGATGAAAATAAAAAGGAATTTACTTATATAGGAGCACAATATGTAGCATT